CGGAGAGAGATGCCAGCTCTGACGCCATTGTTCGGACGGAGACGGTAGGAACGGCACCGGAGGTCAGATGGAGATGAAGCTCGTCGGACGTGGTCCGCTCGTCGAGGTCAGACGTTGTCCGATCGCCGCCCGTCGGACGGGGTCAGATCGCTGCCCGTCGGACGGGATCCACCCGCCTCAGTCGGACGGGGTCCGATCGCCACCCATCGGACGGCCCTCGCCGGCAGTTTTTTTTTTTTGTATAACCCCGATAGCTTTTGGGCAGAGATGCCAACTGATCGGATTTGTTTTTAAATAATGTTAAATATATATATATATATTTAAAATTGTTATAATTAATTGACAACAGAAAAATCAATTATGATTATGACTATTAATTGACAACATAAACACTATTCCCTTAATTATCACGTCTAACTCATAATTAGAGGAAACATAATTTAATAATTAATTACCTATTTTAATAGTAGTAGTTGAGTTTAATTTAATCACTTAAAGTAATTCTTTTCTAATTTTTTTGCGTAAATTAATTTAGTGAATCATTTGGATTGTTTTGTAGTGATTTAGATAGAGATCAAATAATTAACTTATTCCCTCTAATTGCATAACCTAACGTCTAATTAACTTGTTTCCCTCCTCTGATTGCTAGTTGGTAGGTATCGTGCAAAGGAAAATTTATTTTAATTAAGGTAAGTTTAGGGTTTTTTTAATTTCCTTGTTTGTCTCCAATAGGTAAACTTAATCACTTTAAATAATTATAAAATATCACGTCCAAGATAATTATTTTATGTTATTATTAATTTCTATTTTTGTGTCCGTTAGTTGACTATAATCACGGTAACAGGGTAACTCTTTTTTTTTTTTTTGTCAAAGTAGTTAAGGGAATAAATGTAGCAAGGCTGGGTTTTGAACGTGGAATTAGTTAGATTAATATTATTTAACTAGAGTGGACCCCGGCCAGTTGGCCGGAGGAAGGTAGGTATGAAATTTGATAATGTAATGGGGTGTATAGCTTATTGTTGTATAGTTTTTTTTTTTTGAGAAATACGTGATAAAAATAATGAATTTTAGCAGGAAAGAGCACGAATGATGCAACGAATCAAAAATCGGCCTTATGAACCAAAATCAAGTACATGTTACCTTGTGAAACAATATTGTTTCTGGTAATATGATGAGGTGGAGTAAGTTTTATAGAAACCGAATTCCAGAAAATCGAATAAAAAATCGCCTATCTCGTCGGTTTTCGGGAAATGAGGATCTCACAATCGTTGCTAGCTTTTACTCGGCCCGTTGGCCGATTAATTTGCTTTATAAAACTTTCATCTTGTCGTCATTGTGCTTTCTGGTTTTTTTCAGGCCATGATAAATCTAAGAAAATCAAGAACGAACAATACGATTTGGGATAGGAACCGCCGTTGTCGTATCCCTAGAAAATGGTGGTAAACACGGACTCACCTGCCAAACTGGTTTGGATTGAGATTTTTATCGAGTATCAGGGAACCATGTGATTATAAATTAGACTTGATCAAAACGGGCCAAAACTTGAAATTCAGCCTGTTTGACCCACCCATGCCAAATTCTAATTATTCTTTACTTTTAAACTTTCTATTTGAAAATAAAAAATAGTGAAACAAAAGAGATGACTGCAATTCGCATTTGCACATCACTTATTCGGAAATGAAACCATAGAAATTCAAAAGGAACTGAAAATGTTTAGGATCGTTTTAATGTTTAAAATAACCAGATAGATCTTTCTGTTTAGTTTTTTACTAACAAATACCAAACGATTCCCTGTAAAATACACTATATTTTAATCATTATGATATCTAATAATTATATAATATATATTTGAAATGATAAAAATTGGACTAATTGGGTTGGTCGAGGTTACCATTGAATAACTTTAAAATATATTATATTTTAGCCACTAAGATATAAAAGAATAGCATAATATATATTATGCCAGAGAAAATAGCTTGTTTTAGAATGAAAAACCAATGATGTTCATTTATTTTTATTTTTATTTTTTATGGCCAAATACCATGTAGGTCAGGCCCATTCAAAGTAGTTAAGGGAAATTTATTTTAATTAAGGTAAGTTTAGGGTTTTTTTAATTTCCTTGTTTGTCTCCAATAGGTAAACTTAATCACTTTAAATAATTATAAAATATCACGTCCAAGATAATTATTTTATGTTATTATTAATTTCTATTTTTGTGTCCGTTAGTTGACTATAATCACGGTAACAGGGTAACTCTTTTTTTTTTTTTTTTGTCAAAGTAGTTAAGGGAATAAATGTAGCAAGGCTGGGTTTTGAACGTGGAATTAGTTAGATTAATATTATTTAATATAACCGAGTAAATTAGTGTTTAGAATTATCAATTAATGAAATTTCCTTATTATATTCCCCTTATCTCTCCCCGTAATCCCTCCATCTTTATTTTCACCGTGAAATTGGGAAGAGGTTGTCGTTGCCCCGGAGAAAGAAATTACCACCGGCATCGAGGAAGTTGCTCTCCGTCAAGGTCCGAACATTTTTTTTTACCGGTCCGTCCGCTGGCCGACGGCGGACGCATCAGAAAAGCCAGACGCCGGCGAGCGGACGGGGCTGCTGATGGTGGTTTGACGGCGGTGGTGGTCGGCCGGCAGTTTGCTCTAGCGGTGGTGGTTCGCCGGCGATGACTCCGGCGATGGTGGTTCTGCCAACGACGGTGGTTTGGTGGTGTGTGGGTGATGAGAGCAGTGTTGATGGGGCAAAAATGTCATTTTAATTTAATACACGGGCGGCAAATAGTAAATACGCGGGCGTCAAATAACAACCTCTATTAGAATTTCTACTGGCTAAAACTGAAATTGAAAAAATCTCAATTTACTAGTATCCCTAACTCTAAAATTTCACTTCTCCTCGTCTCTTACATTGAAAGGTTCATTAAATAAAAAGAATTGGTGGATTATTTCATATGACGATGATGACAAAAGTGACCTTTGTAATGTGCATCATTGTATTTGCTTTTAAAACTAGTATTAATCTTATTAGTTGTAATTGTTAGAGTTTAAAAAATCGTTATCAAAGAAAATTGTTTACTAATAGAGATAACCAATGCAATTCGGATTCATTTTGAAATATAATGAAAATCCAGCTTGTAGTAGTCTATGACCAAAAGTTTTATATTTCGTTTTTAATTAATTGGTTAATTATATCTTGGAAAAGTTGAATCTGCGAACTTTTTGAAATAAATTCATCATTTGGCCATGTGTGGAACAATGCTTTTCCATGGCGCATTTCAAGTAACCAAAAACGTGTTTGGGATTTACTTTACTTCATTACTTGCATCATGCAAATTAACAAAGCCAAATGGTGTGACTAATCATAGAGAGAAAAGCAAACATAATTGTGAGCACATGTTCTTCATTGATATATCAATGTTATTATTAATTTACTCTATATAGTAGAGTAAAGTCATTTAAATCTTTGCAATTTATTAATACTTTGATTGTGAAAGTTACGAGTCAATAAATCGATCTCTTGAGTGGTTGTTACGATGAAAACCTTCTCATTCGCCATTCATTCAATTCGTCTCTTTTTCTCTCTCTCTCCTGTTGATAACCACTAGACGGTTTGTCCTTAATTGTCATGGTGACAACCACTAGGTGGTTTGCCCCAAATTCATCTCCTCTATTTAAGAACATTTATAATTAACTTAAAAGTTAAAACTAATTCTTTTATTTTTAGAACCCAAACATCCCTACGCACACACCGTTTGAGCGATGGTGGAGCGAGACCAAATCTGGGGGTTCACCTGCTTAAACCATTTGAGCCTTCCACTAAAATCCCCTTTAGGTGCCTTCGGAAATACCACAACTGACCTCGAGATGGGTCTAACGGGCATTGGCGGACCCAGAAATTTTCCATAGGAGTGTCCTTTTTTAAAAAATAAATTAAATAAAAACAATTAATAAAAATAAAATCATAATTATGAAAATACCTTACTCGTACATGTTAAAAAAGTCCATGATGTGTTTTCATATTCGGAAATAATTATAGAATACACTTGGTGTCTATAGTGTTAAACAAATTTGTCTCTATATACCTTACTAGACAATCATTCACGAACTTATCGCATATTCAATTTGTAAACTTGTTTTTGATGTAACCCAAAGCTGAAAGACTCTTTCAACACTTGCCGTACAATCATAAAATCAATACAAATTAAGGGTAGGTTGAAATTAGTTTAATTGTTAGGTTTTTAAAATAATTAGAGATAGGGAATGCCTTTTTACTATTACACATTGTTCAAAATCGAACAACAAATGAGTTGTAGCTCAACGGAAATTAAGTTTAATAATAATAATAATAGTGTTCTATATTTGAATTACCCAATCTACCACTTATATTTCTATACACAAATGATAGTAGGATAATCATTTTTTCAAATTTCAGGGGTGTCCCTCAGTATCAATTATAATTTTTTTTGTCTATATGTAAATTACCATCGGGGGTTGGATAATCATTTTCCTAAATTTACGGGTGTCCCGGGACACCCCTAAAATTCCCTGGGCCCGCCCCTGCTCACGGGATCTCACACTTTTCGATCGAGAGTCTCTCGAGAATTTTACGAGCTGAGCTATGTGACCTCTAATATGTCATAAACCAATTGCTCCCAATAACTCGACTTGTTGGGGGAAGGTTATGCCGGAAAAAACCACTTTCTTACACGCCTCTCAAATAAAAGCCAACCCATAGGCTTGAAGACGAATACCATATCTTGTACTTTTTAATCAACTGTTAATATTGGAGGTCATGGAGATTCAAATACACGATCATTTGGTCAAACCAACTCAGATATCATATCATAAACCAATTGCTTCCAATAACTCAAGTGGTTAGAAGAAAATTATACTGAATCTTATTCCACCCTCTTGCCCAATGCATTTTCGCACAATCTGTCGCAAGTTTAAGCAAAAAAAAAACTTGTGATTCGATTCACCGTCACGCTTTTGTTAGTTAGTTGTAACAACAAAACAGCAAGCCAACGAGGACCTGCCCGCTTTTAATTAAGGTTGTCCCAAAACCGTGATAGTGTCTCTTTCCCCTCCCATGATTCTGGAGACACGCAACATGCACTCATGGGACAAAGATGAAACTTGAAACTGTTGCTAACGTTAAATCAAATTCATTCCCAAATTGAGAAAGATAAAACCTTCCTCCAACTCCCAACAACTTCCCATCCCAACTAGTACACGTTAATGGACAGCAATAGACACTAAAACACCCTCCATCTAATATCAACCAACCACCAGCAAGGAAAATGATGCAGAGAAGAAGAAGAAGAAGAAGAAGAATTTTCCTATTACACAGCTCTGTGTTCTCTTAGGCAAAGATGGCTTCTTTACTCGTCTTTCTTCATGGCGTCTTTCTTCTGTCCTCTCTTGCGGATCGCCATGCAGAATTTCAGCCTCCACGCATCAACGGCTGATTCCGGGATGGCGCTTATAAGAGCCCAGAGAAGGGAATGCGGCCAGTAAGGCGTGCACCGAGGCTCGTACCCTACCCAGCGCAGTCCAGCTTTGGCGTAGCCTTCGTTTGATGGAACGAAGAATGAAGACCTCTTTATCGACGCCATCTTTGTGGCCACGTATAAAGGAACCTGCATTTCGGAAAGACTTTTAAATGAAGATGGCTTGAACGTTAACTCATAGAGGACCAACCGCATCAATGTCGATTCGGAGGTTGATATGAGAGCAAGATTCGAATTGCATGCAAGACACAAAGCCTAGAAAACATAGCATTCAATCTGAATTGGCAGAAACCAGGTGATGAAACTTCAATGTACAAGTTGGAAAGGATATTATGAAGTTATGAATGAAAGGATCAACTTATCCATGGATAACCAAAACGATCACTTTCACAAATGCTCTCCGAGACCAACTCTCGAGCTGAGATATAAGAAAAAGCTGTATCCTTCAGAAATCACCCCATCGAACTGAGAAGTGGGTTGATTATATTAGCCATATGCTGGTTTGTTTTAAAACACCCTCTCGAAGTTGACATTACACTTAAGGAAAGCTACAGCATTTCACCTTAATCCCAATATAGAATCCAATTCATCCACCTATTACCATTTTCAACAGTTCGTGAGCAAAACAAGAACCATAGAGCTCCTTCCTAACCCTCCTTCCACCATATCAACATTTTAAACACCTACCTATGCAGAACAAGTAAAATCATTTGATTCTTCCTTGCCCTCCTATATATCAGATCAAGTTCGAAGGTTCGAAGTTTCGGAATTCGATGATAGTAATACCTGACATTGCACATCAATCCCACTCTTCTTGTACTCAACATAAAGGCATCTCGAGAACTGATCAATGTACCTGAGCCCCCACAAAACAGACAAATCAGCACAAATTACTCTTAACAAAAACTCCACCAATCAATCAAATTCAAAACAATCAGATAGAAGTTTAAGCTTCTTACGCTTTAGTAGCAGCATAAACAGCATAGAGAGGATCCGAAGGGATCACAATGGCAGCACCAGAGCCAATGTTAACAATGGCGCCCTTCTTCCTCTTCAACATCACAGGCAGAACCGCCTGAGTCACTTTAGTCGTCCCTTCCACATTCACCTTAATCAAATTCCTCAGCAGCTCCGCGTCCACCTCGTGGAAGAATCTCGCGTAAGGATACGAAACCCCAACGTTGTTAATCAGAACCCCGACATCGAGCCCTTCTATCGTCTCCTTGATCCTCTCCACTCCGCCGTCGATGTCCCCACTGAAATCGACCACCACCGTCTTGATTTCAACCTTACCGTACTTCGCGGAGATCGAATCGGTGACCTCCTTGAGCTTATCAGGGTTCCGGCCGACGATGACTAGATTGATTCCTTTTCGGGCAAGCTGGAGAGCAAAACCCTTGCCGATTCCGTCCGTGGCTCCGGTGACCACCGCCCAAGAGCCGTACTTTTTGAGGTTTTTCCCCTGGCGGAGGAAATTGACGTAGACCCATTGGAGGAGGGCGAAGGAGAATTTGAGGGCGGTGAGGGAACCTAGGAGGAAGAGCGGGCGGAGATAGAAAGGCTGGTCTTTCAGCTTGTCGAGGAAGTCGAGCTCCATTTTGGAGGAAGCTTTGACTGAGCTTGGATCTGGGTTTTGGGGTCGGGGGAAATGGAAGGAATTGAGAACTGAGAAAGTGGGGGTTAATGGGCTGATTGATATAGAGTTGAGATTTTGGCGGAGAAAGTGAGGACGATGGTGGAGATTACTATGGAGAGAAAGAACGGTATGGTTGGGAGAGTTATAAAGGAAGGAAGAGGGGGAAAAGGAGGTAGAGGGGGATGGGTGAAGTAGATGAGCGGAAAACCACCGTATTTAACTACTGGATGGTGACGGCAGCCATAACTGAACGTGGGGCGGAGAGCGCCAGAGAGGCAGCGGAAGGAAACAGAGTGTGGAGTTTTTTTATTGCCTTTTGTTTACTCCTTCCCTCTGTTTTTCGAACGAGGGATTCCAAGTCTAGTCTAGTCTAATTATAATACATTTTAAGTGAAAGTAGGAATAGTACTTCCACAAGAATTGTAACCAATTAAACTAAACACATTTGATGTATTTTATTAATACAAAACATAGAGGAAGTTAAAATTATGAATAACAAAGTACTTTTCTATCACGGTTAGCTAACTCGCTAAGTCTCCTGTAAGTATTTTGTGGAGTTTGATACTTCTATTTTCATATTTTAATAATTAATTTATAATTTTTTCTAACTTATAAATGAAGGATAATCTTAAAATCTCAACACAAATATCATTGGTTGGAATATTGCGCATTGAATTGAAGTGTTCAAGGACGATATAAGGACACTGGTACCATACATTTCAAAATAAATAAAAATGACAAACACCGATACCAATTATCTCGACAGTCTATGCTAAAATTCGAAATTGTTTAATCATTCAATTTGAATGATAGTTTAGTCAAATCAAGCAAATAATTCACGATTGTGTATGAACAAAAATAAAAACATATGTATTGTATTATGAAAAATGTATTTATTTTAACAATCTAAAAAAAACAATCAAAACTTTCATACGATCCCTTATTTCAATAATGTAATTAATAAAATAATTTTTATCAGCATGATGCAATGTTCAAGCTAAGGTCTAAGTATTAACACCAGTATATAGTATTCATCATAGTTAACTATTTCAATATCCACAACTAACTATTAATGGTTACTTGCTTTCTCTTAGAGAGTTAGAGAGTTTAATGTAACACTCTCATGCCTAGCTATGCTCTAAGCATTTGTTTTCTTTTTCACGATATCATTTGCAGTTATTTATTAAATTAACTTTGTTTCTAGCTATCAATTCCTAATTATTCAATTCTTCATACCAACTTATGAGAATGCTAAATATATTTTTCATGTCTAATCTATTAAACATAAATGTTGCTTATCACTTAAATTCAATGGTATCCATGTTAGGTTTGATGTCACCAACATATTTTCCCAATTTCTCCTAAAAGCATAATATATTGCGCTTGATATCATAGTTTCGTTAGGTAAAGTTCAACAAACTCAATCAATATTCGAACTCTTCGAAATAGCTATCTACATGCGAATATGAAGTACTGAGTAGCTAAAACTCTACTTGAGTTAGTACAATCTTTTGCGCTATCGATTCAAAATTCAATACATGATTATCTTAGTACAATTTAGTCATACTAATTGTGCAGTAGTGGACATCTTATCAATATCTTAAAGAAAGACTCTTTGATTGATCGCTTTATTGATGTAATCAATTATACCAAAATAGAAGTGATCAAATTTATAAGATGCACTCAAAGTTTGCTATAATTATTGAGGTTCAGCAGCACGTTAGGCGTACGACGGTCATTAGCCATTTGTCTATCTCCTTGCTCGCCTAGACATGCTTAGACATTATAATAAAAAAAGCAATTTTAATAATAATGAATAAAATAACGGTTCTGAAGCAATTTCATACTTTACTTCAAATGATTTAACAACAAATGAAATAACTCTCAAGTTTATAATTTTTTTTACCAAATGATATAATTAATTCCTTCATGAGCTGAAATAGCTAATTATAAGCACTTCAAATTTAAGTTAAAACTCTATATGATGCAATTGTTTGACGAAATGGGTTTTATAATAGAGTGGTTCTATCGAGAGAGGTCTTAAGAAACATGGCTTACTTTATTATTCCTTAGGTGGATATAATATCTATCTTCATCGTTACTTTTACATTGGATTCAATTTAGTATACTTTTTCATTTAGATAGATTTTTTTATGATGTTCTGGGATATAATATTTCATTATATATGATGGTGTAGGATATTAATTCCTCTCATTTTAGGTTCAAATTGATGCATTTTCCCCTTAACCGTTCCCTTTTATTGGTTAATAATTTTTATGATATTTTTTACTTTGAAATATCGTGAGCAGAATCTATACACAACAATTTGTGTTTTTTCGCTTCCTCTTCTCTTGGTTAGATATTGTGTACATATTGATTCCTATATTGATTATCGAATTACTACTTTTTTGTTCTTTTTTCTTATGCAAGATATGATTTTATGTTTGATAATATAGATTTATTTTGCAAGCATGTGGATGCTTGAGAGTAGGTTGTCAACCCGCGGGTCGACCCACTTTGACCCTGACCCGGTAAGAAAAACGGGCTGCATGCACTCGCCGAGCCGACCGCTACAAGGTACCGGGTGAGAGGTCAAATTGTGTCATTTTTTTATTTGGTTTGCGAAATGCGCCTATTTTCCGATTTTCTTTTCGCCTAACTCAATCTTTGGAATCCTAAGTTGAACATTTGAATATTGTTGTTATATAATTGTGTGTGAATTTTCACTATATGTTGGATCTAAGTATGACATGTTATTTTAGTGTAATATTATATGTTATAACTCATATGTTAGATGAGATTTAATATGATTTATCAGGATAAGTATAATATAATGAATCTTTCCATGTTTTCGGGCTAAACCGGGTGACCCATTAACGCTTGACCCACTAGCTTCACCGGGTCCGGGTCAACCCGCGGGTTGACAACCTTGCTTGAGACTTTTCATTTGCCTCATAACTTACATTTTAGCTCCAAACTTGGATGAGTTTCTATTCAGCACATAAATTTTTAATGATGTAAAATTTATGAAACTAAGATGCATATTAATAAACAATGTAAGGTCTCATCTTCCCTCTTAAGCACTACATATCATTGTTTACTTACTATTAAATCAAAGTCTTTCTAACTTGAGTAAGAGCTACAATGACTTTTATTAACTTTCACTACTCATATATCACAAGTGTTCAAATCATTATCAAGTGTTCATACAATGACTTTTATTGTTGTGGATTTCCCCCAAAATGTTAGGTATGCTGCTTTCAGTTTTTGTCTTCTTTTCGCTTTGATTTAGCTTTTAATGTGTTGCTCTATTAGTTGAACTTGCAGCTGGAAATCTGCATGCTTTGTTTCATTATATCATTGAATACACTAAAGTCAATGGAACCATGACTGTGTGAGTTAGTTTATTTCTTTTTAAGTACACTCTAAACATATAGTTTGTTTCATTATATCATTGAATACACGAAAGTCAATGCAAAAGGCAAAAAAATTTATCGTATACTGAAGATTGATTATGTATGTGTGATGTAAAACAACTCTTATCATTGTTCTTCTTAGACATTTTTATGTAGATATGAATTTGTTTGAAATATGAATTTATGTTAGTGTAGTTGGGTGTTGTTTGTCATTTTTTAAACTTCATTAGTCAAATACATTAAATACTTTCCTGTATTATTCATGGAGAACTTACCAAATTAAATTGTTACTTCAATCCTCAATGTTTACTACACATACACATGAAAATCAAACTCTCCCGGCCAAGAGGCCAGGCCCTAATCTAGTTACAAGTAGGGATGACAATGAGTTGGGTTGAGTTAGGTTGGGTAGGTTCGAGGTTTGCCAAATTCAAATTCAAATTCATGAGTTTATCTGTCAAAAAAACAAAGGATAAATTCACTGGATTTGGAAATCTCAAACTCAACTCAACCCGTTGGGTATTCGCGGGTTCATGAGTACCCATGAGTTTTTTGTGGTAAAAAACTTACAACAACAAGTTCCTATCAAAATAAAATTCAAACATCAATTTTTTCACATAAATTATCCATACATAAAACACTTGTCTAAAAAATTCAAACAAATCACAATTACACTAAATAAAAGCACACAGAATGAGTGTACTGGAATTAGATTGGGTGAAATTAGAATTAGGGTAGGGTTTGGAGAGAGTAGGGCTACAGATAAGTGTGGGCGGGTATCCATAGGCCGATTATCCCTAAATCCAAACTCAACCCGGTGAACAGTGTATTAGAGATAGTGCATAAAAGAATTTTATTTCTTTTATTCTTTTATTTTTCCCCACTTTCTATCGTTCCTATCTTTGTGGAACGTGTGGGTACGTTTGTTGCTACAAACCCTCCTCTTTTTTTTAAGTGAAATGTCATTAAGAATGCGACTGGGCCAAAGCCCAAATGGAAAGGTACAAGCTAAGAAAGCGAAAAAGGATCAGAAACCAAATAAAAAGGCCCAAACATGTGGGCCGGAAACCCAAGATCTCAAACCTCCTCTGTACATGTATAATTATCCCTCAAGATCTCAATACTATCTCAAGCTGATTTTCACAAACAATATCATTTCCGTAATAGCTCTTTAATGGTATCAGAGCAAGCAAAGTTCAGCTAAGCTCGATTCATCTGTTCTTTCCCTCTTTTTCTCTATATCTCTCTATGGCAGCAACGTTTCTTTTCCAATTCTCACAAATATCATGGCTGACGGCACTCTGTCCATAGCTGATAATGCAACCGTCACAGAAGAACACATCATCACCTTCAATCCCGAGGCCCAGCTGCCGCTCAAACTTACTTCTACGAACTTCAATTCCTGGAGGTCTCAACTCGAAACCCTGCCGATGGGTTTGGAGCTCATCAATTTCATCGTTGGCATATGAGCTATTCCTCCTCAAACGATCACCACGGATGGCAATACCACGACTAACCCTGCATATCGTCGTTGGTTTCAACAAGATAAGCTTATTCTCCATGCCATTCGATGCTCTATTTCGGAATCTCTGTATTCTTATGTCTCTGGTGCTGCGACCTCTCACTATGCTTGGTTAATTCTGGAAAAACTCTATGCTAATCGCTCTCAGTCTCGATTGATTAATCTGAAAGGAAAGTTAAGTCGCACTAAAAGGGGTGATCGAGATGTGCTCACCTATGTCAATGATATGAAGATTATTGCAGCCGAGCTTGCTCTTGTTGACGCCCCAGTATCAGATCTCGATCTTGTGGTTCATGTTCTTCGTGGTCTTGGTCCAAATTATAGTCAATTTGCTATTGTTGTACGAGCTACGGGTTCCACCATTGCTATTGAAGATTTATTGGATGCT